TGATCTCCAGAGGTCCCTTCCCACCCCTAACGCTCTGTGATTCTCTATGGGAAGATTAGACGTAATACACCAATAACGTATTTGGCGTTGGTCAGAACGTGACTTTCCTATTGTTAAATTGAATGAAAAGACATAAAATACTTAATCTCCCTGCTACTGAAATTTTTGTTATGAAGGCAGATGTAGTACGTAGAGAAAATCCCTCCACCCTGCCTTAAGCAGAGAACCAGGCAGGCCTAGGAGTCTTTCACATGGCATTGTTTTGTCCTGCTTGAAGCAGTCTATCTTGGATATCTCTAAGTCCTCTCTCTTATATTTTACAGAAAGCCTAAGTATCTATGATGATATTGATGCTGATGTGCTGAGAAACTACCAGGAATTTACACTAGCAAATATTCTGTACTACTCCCTGAAAGAATCCACCACCAGTGAGCAGAGTGCTAGGATGACCGCTATGGACAACGCTAGCAAAAATGCTTGTAAGTCTACTCTGTGGGTTTCCCAGGACTTCAGTAGTTTAGCATGAAGGTACTGACCTCCCTTTGTGTAATTCTTTGCTTCAAAAGTGATAAAAATGAGCTGGTTTCTCTCTTAGTTCCATTTTGAGTCTGTTTTTTTTTTTGAGCCAGTTCAACTGGGTTTCTTTTCTGAACACGTGAACCTTATTTGGTCCCTGGAAAGAGGGATTGCTGTCAGTATGTGAGAAACAAGACTAGGTTACTGGAAGTGAAATAAGAGATTCTTTAGTAAGAATATGAAATACCAAACTAACCTTGTAATGGCCTAATATTCTTTACGCTCTTACGTCAAAAATTCCACAGTTTTTATAAACTCTGTACCTGCCTGTGAGCCCAATGTAATTAGTACTGCACCAATTTAAAGGTGGGGAAACTGAAACAATGGTGAAATGCTTTAGCCCCTGTCATGCAGCAAGCTGAGAACGTGCCAGGGTTCCTGGGAAGGTGTCCAGGCGGAGAGCAGTGCCGAGCCCACGGGCGGTGTTGGCGGGAGGCAGCAAATAGCTTTGGATGTGGCTCGGTGATACGACGTTGGCCCTGAGGAGGTGGTGGTGTTGCCTAAAGGGTAGCGGTGTCTGAAGCTGATGGGACGTGTTTGGGCTACCTGGAACTGTCGGTGTGGCTCGCTGCTGATCACCTTGCCTGGAGAGAAAGAGGGGATTCCTTCTGTGTTTAAAAAAAAAAAAAATATTGAAGACACAAAATTTCAAACAAATCTGGCTTTCTTTGCCGGAACAACAGGGACTTGAAGGAAATACCAATGTAGTTAATTGATAGTGAAATCTAATTTAACAGCAAATAGTGCACGCTTGTGTTACGTTAAAGCAAGCTGTGTCATACCATGGTATTTACTGCTCTGTCAGCTGTTCTGCAGATCTTTAACTCTGATGCCTGCAGCCAAATCATCAAGTTTCTAGATTGTCTACTAGTAGGGGGAAAAAAGTGCGTCTTGATCATTTGCATGGGTTTGTTCTGTCCTACAGCTTCTCTTTATCTGTACTTGAATAGTTGTTACACGTTAAAATTCCAACCTTCATTCTTTCTAGCTGAGATGATTGACAAGCTGACCTTGACGTTCAACCGTACCCGTCAAGCCGTCATTACCAAGGAGCTCATTGAGATCATCTCCGGTGCCGCTGCTCTGTGAGTACCTGTGCGAGCACGAAAGAGGAGCTGGGGCAGAGTCGTGTAGCGCTTGTACGTGCTGCGTCAGTCGGCTGGCGGGGAAGGTTGGGGCACGGAGGTGGCACCACCGAAGGGACGACAACCCGTGGCATGACTCCCAAGCCTTCCAGCTTGCGCAGTTCTACTAACGAGGGGGAAGTTTAGCAGATAATATTAAAAAGTTGGTAAAATAGAGCTTTAGCTTCCCCACACGTCCTTGCCTGAACAGGCAGTGGTTTTCCTCCTTTTTGGCTTCTGAGTGGATTTCCCCCCTCCTAGGCTTCCCGTACTCTGTCTGCTGAGACAGCCCGGTGGGGGAGAAGCACTCGGGTGACGGAAAGGCTTTTGGATAAATCAGCCTGTGGCAGTGGTCGGAGGCTGAGAGTTTGGGGGTGGGCTTGGAAGGAGGAGGGAATTTCCAGAGTCTGTTGATACCGAATGTGCATTTTGCTTTAAGCTCAGTGTTTTGCTTATTTTCCTGAGAAAGAAGGGTTGTGAGGGTGGGTGCTGCGGGTTACAAACGCATGGGCCCGGACCACAATTTGTAACTGCAAGTAGCGGATGTGTGTTACATCTAACAGTTCAAAATTGGCGCTATACTCCGATGCAAATACCTGTGTTAATACCCTGTTTGTTTGCAAAATGCCTGGAATATGTACCGTACTGCCGTTACAGGCTGTATTGTGCTCCTCACAATACATTTGAGGTCATAAATACGTGCATAGTTTTGCTTGAATTTGCATGAGTTGCTTCTTAACCTGCTTGTTCTGTTTTTTCTCGTAATACCATAACCAGGGATTAATCGGAAAAAGAGGTTCAGCCAATTCCAAGAGGTAAAGTTATGAAATAGAAACTAGACTGCATTGTAAAATGAATTCACACAGAAAAACTTGAAGGCAAATGAGGAAGTCGGAATTCAGTGTTGGTCAAACTTCTGAAAGAGCTGGGAGCTGCTGATTTGAATCTGTCTGAACAAAACGTTCTTGAGCATCAATAATTTTAAGCAAAATACGTCCATGGTGGCTTACATCCACGTTTGACGTAATTTTATGTGGGGTTTTTTTCTGGGTTATTGGATTAATGTGTAATTACGGTTTTAACTTTTTCATAGTGCCCTCACCTTAGGCAATGACTTTACAAATGTCTGTCTGTAAGACGTTGTACCTGAAGGCGTTTCTGTAGCAAAATAAGCATCTTCAAAATTTAAAACTCCAAGGAAAAACAGACTTGATAAAGAGTGGGTGGGGGGCAGGTAAGGAATATTAGTGAGTTGAAGTATTCAAAGTGGAGGAGACAGAAGTTTTACATTAAAAAAAAATAATAAAAAGTGATTTAATTTGCTTCAATTTTCCTTACAGGTGAAGAAGAGCTCGTCTGAGCATGTGCTGTTTAACCTGCCCGTGTCTGTGTTAACAAGACTGCTCTGTTATTTTGTGAAGAAGTGGTAAAGCCTCAGAAATCTGTAAATTCTTACAATAAACCACCTACATGAAACAAATGCTCTTGGTGTCTAAATATCTGGGTTTGACTTGGTTACTCCTTGAAACATCGTTTTTAAATGCTGTGCTCTACATTTGGTAACGCGTCCGGCGTGCAAGACCATCGAAGTGGGTGTTCTTTGAAGAGTGGAAGAGGGTGCCTGTCTTCACCCTGTGTTTAAAAGTGTTGGCTCGTCACGTACGTTGTGCTGCAGGAGGAGACTGTGGAGTAACCCCCCCCTGCCTTGTGCAGTCGGAACACTGGTCTCTGCCTCACCCGAACACCGTATTCCTGCTCTTTCTAGATGTTGCTATTCTGAAATGAACTGACCTGATTACGAGTCATTTCAGCACGCTGCGTGTTTATCGTGGTCAGTGTGCGCGGGTGTCTGTCTGCACGCTATAACATACAGTGACACTGCAGTTCTCAGCCCCCGCTGGGCACGACAGGGACGTGAGAGAGGATAAAATGTAAAAAATAATACAGCAGAAGTGTAAGAAAACTGGCAGCAGGGCTGTAGACGCAGAAAGGTGCCGCTCCTGGATGGCAGACAAAAGGAGAGCCTCGAAGGTCTGTTGTGGACATGGGAAGAGGGTTTGCAGGAGAGATCTGAAGAGAACGGGAACGGCCTCAAAGCGGTCTGGGAGTGAGGCGGGGGCAGGCGCCAGCAGCCACCCTCTGGGGTTGAGTTGGGCCTAAATCGGCTGGTCTGGAAACCCCGCGATCAAGGGCCGGGCTGGAGCCGACGTGTTTCCTGGGAGGCAGCTTGTTGGCGCGACGCGGCGGCGCCGCCCTTCGTGTGCGCAGCGAGGGGTACCTGTGGGTGAGGAGGGCAGCGGTATCCCGACCTGAGGCGGGATCAGGGAAACGAGAGAGACGGCCTGGGAGGAAATTTGTGACGTGGTTAAGGAACGCTCCTAACGCTGCCTTCGAAGGAATGGTGGTGGACGGCGGCGGGCTGGGTATGGGTGAGCTCAGGGAGTTCTGAAACGGAGGAAGACAAGACAGTGGATGCTGTGAGGGGGCAGAAGTCCCTGATCTGTCCCGTTCCTGCTTCTCATAATCTGGAGCCTGTAACTCTTGGAGCGTAATTTGATTTTTATTTAGAACCTCTTTTAAATCGCGTTTTATCTCGTTTCCTTTGCTCCCTAAGTGTGGGAAACAGTGCTTGGGAAGTGCCAGCCTAGAAAGGTGGTAGATTGTAATTAACTCTGTTAAAGTTGAGAGCCAGCCCCCTTGTTGAAACAACTTCCGTGTAATTTGAGGTCATCCTGATGATTTACGTTCCCCTTTTCCTCTGTCAATGGATCCATCCTCTCTGTTCTCTTCCCTGTGAAATTACATCCTCGTTAAGGAATAATTTGAGGCCACTGCTGGCTTTCTAACGCAGTTCCCGCCACGCTCCTGCCCTGATGGCCTCTGAACCAAGGTCCGCGCCCCTCGGGTCAGAGCTTTCCCGCAGCGGCCGAGGCGGCGGCTGCCCGACCTGCAGTCACCACCTTGCGGTGACCCGCTGCGGCCACCCCCGGGGAGGGGGGTGACACATGTCGTGCCGAGCTGCTCTCCGAAAGGGTTGGCAAAGCAAAAACGGCCGCATGGGCCCTGCCTGGTTCAGGGGGCTGAGTCCTGCTGTCCCCAGCCCATGTGATGGTTCCCTTCCTCATCCTCCACGTCCTTTAATTCCTCCCAGACAGGCAAGGGAATCCTTTCTGCACCTTCCAGCCTTCCCTTCTTCCCCCTTTCCAGACCCACAGGGGTCAATCGCACGCAGCCCTGTCAGGTCGATGTGCCTAAGGACCAGCGTGTCCAAGAGGAAAGTTCTTTCCAAGCCTTGGAATCCCGTGTTAATTCCCTCAATATTTGTGAAGTTTCAAAAAGCGGGGCCTGTGCGTTCGGAGCTTTCCACAGCGCTCAAAAAAAACCCCCACCAAACCATTTCTAAGATGAGAAAGGTGATGCTGCTTCGAAACAGTCCAAAACTTCTCAACGGACCGAAGGGAGGGAGCAAAGAACATCCACCTGCCCTGACCCACGCTGAGCTGCAGGACTTGGTCGTGGGTCCAGCTCCCCGCTCCTCAGGTCGCAGCCTTGAGATGGGACCGGTACAGGAGACCCGGCTGTTTATTGACCAATCAACACGCTACTAACGGTCTAATAAATCAAAGAGCTAATTTGTGAACTAATTAACTTCTAATAATAGACTGCTATTATTTACAATTCTGTCCTTCACGCTCTGATTAGTTACACACAATTACCGAGTTAGTTCAGCGCTGGTGGTGCTGCCGTACGCCCAGCCACTGCTGAGGAACGGCTGTGTCGCTCCTCACGCTGCCTCCTCCACCACTAAGTGTTAGTTTTGTTCCTGGATCCTCCTTTTTGCCATTGTAGTTTCATCCTTTCCCTGCTCAGTTTCCTCCCCAAATAAACAGCTCGCCCTCCAACACCTTTTCCTCATTGCTCCCAATTTTGCTACATCTGTTCCCAAAGCTGATGTTTCTGCTACCTAGACAATCTCGGCCTTGCACGTCATTATTTATGTACCTGTCTACACACAGGTGACCCTGCAAGGTTCTGCTTCCCCAAAAGATCCCCCAAACTTCCCTTCAATTTGGCCCATATTGGCTCTTAAATGTATTTTTTTTTTTGTGGTTCCACCACACGCAAAAACCTGCAGCTGCAGAAAAGATTCACAAAAGTCTTCTTTTTCTGAGCTCTGGAGGAATTACTGACATTGGAAAGGGGAGAAATGGAACAAATCGACCTTCTTTTTGCTGCAAAGGAGAAATATCCCCTACAAGTCTTCTGGCATTAAAGTCAATTTTGTTTTAAAGTGTCTTAAATCAGGCTCCTTCCTGTGTCCTTGTGAAGTCTCTTCACTGTCAAAGGATTTTGTTGCACTCAAATTTCCCATTTCTCCAATTCCTCTTCCTCGCAGGGCTAATCCTGCAACTTCCATGTGAGTGAAGGAAGTTGCTGATGCACTGTCGGTGATATGTGTGACGTGTGGCAACGTGTGGTGAGGCTGTACGGCTGAGGAATGACATGGTGGGGCCTGACAGCCCCAAACCACAATCTCCAAACCAAAAAGTGTCCAACAGGCAGGATTAGCATGAAGAGTGACTAAAGGGCTTCACCCAAAAGGGAAGATCCAATGGCAAGGTCTTGACAGCAAACATTTGATGTCTTATGCTTATGAATGTCTTAATGCTTATAAATATCTAAAGGATGGGAGTTGAGAGGACGAGGCCAGGCTCTTCTCAGTGGTGCCCAGTGACAGGACAAGGGGCAACGGGCACAAACTGGAGCACAGGAAGTTCTGCCTCAACACGAGGAAAAACTTCTTTACTCTGAGGGTGACAGAGCCCTGGAACAGGCTGCCCAGGGAGGGGGTGGATTCAAAACCCTCCTGAACGTGATCCTGTGCGGCATGCTCTAGGTGAACCTGCTTTAGCAGGGGGTTGGACTAGATGATCTGCAGAGCTCCCTTCCACCCCCTGCCGTTCTGTGATTCTGTGAAACGGTGGGGTAGGTGCCCTCCAAAGGGTGAAGGAGCTTTTGAATGTCTCGAATCTTTTGAATATATTGAGCGCCTTGAATAGAGCCTTCAATCATTTTTCCTTATTCTCACCAACTGCTTGATCTTCCTCAACTTTATGCCAAGGCTTTATGCCTTCGACCATCCTGTGACTCTGACTGTGTCTGAGGGTATGAGCTGCCTGAGGATGCGTTACCTCCTGCAGCGCAGGGGAAACCCAGTGGCAGCGAGGGCTGCAGAGAGGGCCGGCATCCCGCTCCTCCACCCAGCTGAAAAGAAAAATAATTAAAAACAATCAAACAGGGCTTCGGATAAACTGTTTTGACCAACACCTTCCAGCTTTCTGGTCACACGGGCCGTGGCTGCTCGTTCAAATGGTCCGTTTGGGCTCTGCTCCAGCGCCTCACGGCCCCGCTCGGCCGCCTTGGGCCTGCGGAG